GTCTTTGCCAGAAACTCTATACAGTCTTTTAGTTACATCTTACTGCCCCAGCTGTCTTGCCTAGAGATGCGATGGTATGACAGGAATGTGAAGGATACTTGCTAAATCCTCCATAATAATAAATTTTCGATGTCACAGCACATGACACCTTTACAAAGAATTTTAAAGTCACAAGATTCCTTGTCTCCAGCTTAAGAATGAGACATGAATGCTTCTCCAACTTGAGATTTCTCACTGATCAAAAAGAAACAAATAACCTATTGAAAATAAACCAGAAACAAGGTGCTTCCAATTTTTAAAAAGTCCATGGCAACAAGGCAATAGCTATCATTGTTTTATGCTATTTGCACTTTGAATTATTTGAGGAAAAAACTGTTCTAAACACCAACTAATATTTCAGGCTCATGCAAATGAAGGAGGATAAGTTGTGTTTTCGCAGTCTTACAGATGAGACAGAATGTCAGGAGGCTGTGGCCAGTGCTCCTGTTGAGTTGTCTATCCTCATCCTTCAGCACCCTGAGAGCTTGGGGAAGCTGGCTCTGGATTCATAGGCAGACTGTGAGGAGATCCCAGGTATTGCTGGGGAGTGGGTTGAGAGGGAACAACTGATCAAAGGGATGAAGGCATGCCAGTAGCACTGAAGGAGCATGGGGGGAAATGCTGGGGTTTTCTGGGTCTGTGGCATCTAGTGATTGGTTAACTAAAGTCGAGACATGGGTGTCTGCAATGAAGGAGCATGGCAGGAGCTTCTGAGCTGTTTCCTAGCAGACAGAGGCAGAAACCATGGAAGATGGGCACCCACTACTCCATCTCCAGGAGAGACACCAGCCCCACCATGGCACCCAAGATGGCTGACAGATCTAGTGGTGCCCATCCCCACTCAGCTGAGGCACTGAGGCACAAGCACCAGCACAAGAGAAGAAGGAGGCTTGCTGAAGAGTGGGAAACAGCTGATGCCTGCCAGCTGCCTCTGTCCTCCCTCACTGAAAGACTCCAAGCCCAGCCCTGAGTTTGTCTTGTTTATTACAAGGACTGCCTCCGTTATGAGAATGGAGGCCAGTACAGAACTGATTATATCCAGGGGACTAGTGGGAAACTCAGCTCCCTGAGGTTGGGAGATTGATAATGGGTAATCACTGTGTAAAGCACTAATTCAATAAAGAGCCCTCTCACCAGCAGCCTGGAGCTGATGGATTTATTGACAGGAGACCCCAGGGCCTCTGGCTTTGCCAAAGGTGGGGGTGCTCACATAGTGATAACCTACATCCCTACAACATGGAGAGTTTTCAGGTTGTAGTTACTGATTGCATTTCTTGCTCACCAGTTCAGTAGAATTAAGTGTGTGTGTGGGAGGGGCTGTTTCTCTCTCTCTCTCTCTCTCTCTCTCTGGTGAAATGGGACAGTTTGACATTCCCAGCTAAAGCAGAATAAATGCAGGGGCAGTTCCTAGGATTGGGCTCCTTGCAGCTGAGAAGTGCCTGTAAGAAGGAAGTGTAGAGCTGCTCATCTAAAGCACCCAAAGAGATAGGCACCCAAATTCTGTTTAAAAACCTTCAATGTAGGAACCACAGCCTTCTGAGGTAGCCCATTGTACTGATTAACACCTCTTCTATTAGGAATATTTAGGAAGAATTTCCTTTCCTCTAATCTGAGTCCATTAATTTGGGCCCTGCCTTCTAGAATTGCAAAATGAAAAGTTTTGTTTCCATCTTTCATACGACAGTTCCTTAGATATTTGAACATAGCTATGATATCACCATCATATGCTAATTGGGCCAGCGTAGTGTAGTGAATAAAATGTAGTCTAGGACTCAGAAGGAGACATGGGTTCAGTAAATTTGCCTTTGCCATGGAAACTCACTGGAGGGTGAGCAGTGGTAAACCACTCTTTAAACGTCTTACAGTCTTCAAAAACTGTATTAGAATTGCCACCGTTCATTGCCTAAGAACAAATGAAACAACAATCACATTTCAAACTTCTCTTCTCCAGGTTAAGCATACCCAATTCTCTCAAGCATTCCTCATAGGTTTCTAAGCTCATTACTATTTTGGTCACACACTTCTGGGTTAAGGATTGTAAGAATGCTCTCCAATTTTCTCATCCTTGGGTTTTTTTCAGAATTTTTATTTTATGTTATTTTATTTAAATATTTATTTAAAAGGAGTGTTATCAGTTGAGATGCCTTATTAAAAAACAATCAACTTTGTTTTTTAATTAGAGTGAAAAGATCACTTTTTGTCAGTGATATTTGCCAAACCCCCATTTAAAAAATTGAACTAAAATCTGTATTTTGTCTTAGAAGCCTTGTGTTCTGTCCAGATTATAGAGTTTTCTATGCTAAATACAAGGGTTATTTGTGCAAAATACTTTTCTGCAAAAAATGCTTTGACATAAAGTATGGTGTATTCCCAAAAAAGTGTCAACATGTGGAAAATGCACAAAAATTCTTGGAATTGATTTGTGGAACCATACCAAGAAAAACAATTGTCTGTCCCATTGCAGCAAAGAATATAATTTGAGAATTAAAGAAGTGAAGCTGTACCCAATATGTTTGGGCAGATATTAGTTAGAATCCTATTACGTATGCTGGCAAAATCAAATTGCCATAAATCAAAATGGTCAATTGCCACTAGTTGAGAATTTGACGCTTCTATTTGCGGCTTGTGGCGCAGTGGCTAAACCGCTGTACTGCAGCTAAAACTGTGCTCAAGACCTGGGGTTCAAATCCCAGGTAGCCAGCTCAAGGTTGACTCAGCCTTCTATCCTTCCGAGGTCGGTAAGATGAGTACCCAGCTTGCTGGGGGTGGGGGTGGGCAATGTGTAACCTGCATAATTAAATTGTAAACCGCCCAGAGAGTGCTTGAAGCACTATGGGGCGGTATATAAGCAGCATGCTTTGCTTTGCTTTGCTTTGTTGCATGCCATGTCATGCCACCAGTTCTCAATGACAAATATAATTATTGATTTCTGAATTACTGGCAATTATGCTGTTCAACCTATGCCAGTGTATATAAGCAATAGGGTTTTGCCCATTATAACCAATATATTAAACTGAAATCCATTTTTATATTTACTGTATGTATTTGATATGAACAGATTCCTACAGTACGCAGTTGTGTTCCTGCTAGGTCAGTATCTGCTAATTCACAGTTTGTTTGTTTGTTTAGTCATTTCTGTTCTGCTTTTCTCACAGTGAAGTGCCACAGTGAAGGTCATGAATAAAACAAGTTAGACTAAAAGCACACTTTAAAAGCATATATGTACACATCCAGAAGTGGCCCAATTAGTGATCTACCTAAAAAGGAAGGTCCTTAATTGTCATTGAAAAGACAAAAGGGAGGGGGCCAGCTTAACCTCCTGAAGGAGAACAATCCACAACCTGGGAGCAGCCACACACAAAAAGGCTCTTTTGTGGGAAACTGTTGTAATGGGAGTTGTGTGGTCCCTGTAACTGGTCCCAGCCAGCAATCTGGTTGCAGGATTTTGCATATAATGAATGCTAATATAACTGTGGACTGCCAACCACTAGTCTATAATATGGTCAAGATGTAAGTCAGCAAGGTATTAAGTGCAGTACCAACAGACTTTCCCTTAGTATCCATGGAAATTCTGGCATCCACAGATTATGGCATTGTTGTGGGCTGCCTTAACCATGAATGAAAGAAGCCAATTGTTGCATAGTGCAGACAGAAGAGCCCCATACTGTGAGCTAGTAATCCCATTTTAAAAAGAAATCTGGCAGCCACATAGACAACGTAACATCCTTTCCAGTGCAGGCCACTATTGGAATGTATAGCTAGGGCTTCTTGCAGAGCAAATGGTACTTCTTGGAACACTCGCAATCAGCAGTCCACAACTCTGTTGTCAAGAGAAGTACCACAGCACAGTACAGATAGACCAGAGTGTGAAGGCAATTTGTTTAGTAACAAATTCCGTTTTCCACTGATCACCCGGAACAAAGTTACTCTCCTCTGTAACAGCCATGGCTATAATTTACTACTTTTCAGGGGAATATTATTCATTACTGGTATATGTATGGGCATTTGGCCTTAAGCAGTGAGAGGAGGAAAGAGGAAAAATCATGATGTAGCTCCTTTTGTGCTTCCGCCTCACTTGTGTTGCTTTGCGAGCCAGGTGCTGTGCAGCAAACAAGGAGGAGATTGGGATGAGAGGCACCAGGCACTTTTTACAGAGTGATGCTGCACACTTTTTGCTTATTGTTGTATTTTGTGGAGTCTTTTTGCATTTCCTCCCTGTCCCTCTTTCCTCAACCTCATCTTTTCCATTTCCTGAACTGTACTCTAAAGCAAATCAGCCTGTTTACTCTCTTTCAGAAAAATAGAGGGAATAAACCAGAGATAATTAATACCTAAACCTCCAATATGAGAGTGAGGGGTTGTTGTTAAAAGCTGCAGACAATTCCTTTTATCAGTCTTCAACAGAATTAAAGAGAATGTATTTCTCTGTATATTTAGTAGGATAGGATATCTATACTGTAAAGGCTATCTGGCACTGAAGATTTTGTGAAATAAAATTAAGGTGCCGTCAATATATTTTTGTCAAAAAGTATCTTGAGGATTATAGAGTACCACAGTTGTTAATGAAGCCAATATTGTGTTTGTTATTTTTACTGTCAGAGGTGTTTAAGGGATATTCTTGGGGGAACTGTGGAGCATTTTCCTTCCATTTTCAATGGTGATGTGTTAATATTGACCGACAACGGATTCTTTTCTAATAATATTAGAAAATAATCTTAGAATTGCAGAGCTGGAAGGAACGCCATGGATAATCAAATCCAGCCATTGCCGAGGTGTCACAGTGGTGGAATTGAACACCTAACCTCTGGCTCTGCAGCCAGATATCTAAACCACTGGGCTATCCAGCTTTACTGTTCCCTGAAAATAACAGATACCTGACAAGGTTGTGGGAACCCAAACTGGAACTATCATTTTATTTGTAAATTATAATTTTGATCGCTTAATTCATGTATATTTTTCAGTTAGAAGAACTAAGGAATGCGCTGGATAAGACCAGGCAAGAACTGGAAGCCACCAAAGCACGGCTTGCCTCAACACAACAGTCTTTGGGTGAGAAAGAAGCACATTTGGCCAATTTAAGAATAGAACGGAGAAAACAGTTGGAAGAAATACTGGAAATGAAGTAAGTACATTTATACCTTTTTTGTTTTAATAAGGTCCAAAAAACGGATGATAAATTTTGCTATTTTAAGTCTACGTGCATTAATTCATGTGTTGAGTTTTCATACACAAATTTGTTTGAACCCAGAATATGCTTTGATCAGTGAATTCAATGACTTGAGAAGTATCATACGTAGCACATATTCAGCCCAGACCTCTTGCTTACTTTTGAGAGGTGAAATTCCCCCGATATCTGGTTAATCTGCAGGGTTACATGAACCTGAAGAACATTTGGGTATGGAATGGGCTAGCATTAATGACAAGGCAGTGGGGTTTTTTTTAAGAAACAAAAACAAAGGCTTTGCTGCCATTTCAAGAGGATGCTTGACTAACCTCAGCAGTTAAGCAGCATTTGCTTTGTAAACTGAGATGTGGTGCCCTGAGGGAACGTTATGGCATGATGGAGCATTATTTGCATTGGAGGCTTGCTTCCCGTATTTCCAAGGAAAAATCACTGGCTTACTGACAGCAGCAAAACTGACGGTTGATGCTCTGGCAAAACCTTTTTAGTTTAAAGAATAAGAAGAGGGGAAAAAGCCCTCCTCTTTTTCAAGAGAAGTGTGCGCCACACAAACGTTCATCAGATAACTCCCATCAAATGTTACTCATGTAGAGGTGGTATTTGATTTTTGCCTCAGGAGTATAGATAAATACTAATCATAGCTTCAAACTTCAGAGATATTAATAATAGCTGAAAGACTTAGAATCACAAGTTCCTCAATTTTTGAGGCTCTTATTTATCTGAAGTATCTCAGTATTAATGTATCACATTAAATACTAATCATAGGTATATAATTTTTTACCCTTACATTTAGTCAGTGTTGCTTGCACGTGCAACACCCTCGATAGTATCCTAAGGAGAGAGGCAGGTCCAAGATAATAGTATATGAAACTCAGTGAGTCTAGGAACTGTTACTATCTTGTCAACTTTGAAAAGATACATGTTGTCAATAAATAAATAATATATTTTCATTTTTAAATGAAATGTTTTTAAAGCTTTTAAAATCCTGGCTTTTATTTATTTATTTATTTATTTGATTTTTACCCCGCCCCTCTAGACCATGTCTACTTTTGATGTTTTACTTAGTAACTTAGTTAAATTAGACAACAGAAATGATATGATTCAAGATACATTTTAAAACCTCTGAAGCAGTTGTTTGTAGAGAGAACCCTGACCGGAGAGCCATTCATTACATTCCCATTTTGGTGACTGTATTATTGCTAACCTAGAACAGACTGTCTTACATATTAGTACTGGAGAAATGGATTACTGTGCAACAAAGCCCAAATTATAAAAGATGTAGTGCTTGTCAAAGGAAATTTTTGGTAGCTAACAGCTGTGACCTCAGTGTATTATGTCTGGGAGAATATCATGTTCCTGAAGAATTCCAAAACTGTTTCAATCTCTATGACTGGGTAAAAATGATAAGGTCACTTATTCTTCGTCCTTCTAATAGTGTATTTTCCATACTGGGTGTAATGAGATAAAAAGGGAAGATGAGTTTTAAAAATATGTTGCCAAGATTATAAAACAAAACTGCAGAAATGCTATGAATAAGCATTTACGAATATGTATTTACAATCACTAATTAAATTGAACTTCTCACTCTAATGATAAGCATACATAATTAATTCAATTTGCAAGAGACTCATTCTTGCCCCCAACAAGAGTAAGGCCAGTATGGGCAAATCTATAGAGAAGAATGAATGCAAGTGACAAGTATTTTATATATGAACTAAAAAAAGAGGACAATTTATAAATACAATGCCTTTCTCTACAGATCAACTGTACTGAAACCAACCATTTAATGGGACATGATTATTTCAGGCAGCCAGTTCAAGATTACATATAATAAATGACATCCTTCAGAAACATGTAAAAATATGTAGACAAAATCATAGGGATTACCGGAAGTAAAACAAATCCTGTTCAGATTTTGCTAGTAGGGTTGGACATGTTAGTCCGTTTGCAAGGAAAAACTGGAAGGCGTCTTGTGGCACTTTATGGACTAACAGGTTTGGTTGAGGACATGTTTTTATAAACCACAGCTCGTTTCATCAGGTGCATGTGGTCATGTTTTTCTGAAGAATAATAAATTTTGCACACCTTGGGGGAATTTTATTTCGTCATTCAAAAAGTATTGTCTGCCTGTTTTTGTTTGTTTGTTTGTTTGTCTGACGATTGGAATACCATACTTTTAAAGGGCACTCATGCTGTGTCTTTCTAGAAAGGTACACAGTCGTTGTCTTTTTGACTCATTAAAACAAATTGCCTGTTACGTTGAGCACAAGTAGGAGCATGTAAAAATGTTCTTTAGGCTGTTTCCCATTGGGGCAAGATGATCTACTGGCTTTTAAAAGATGATGATGGTATACAGTATATGTTGTTATTGTTATGTGCTGTCAAGTTGCCTTTGACTTATGATGACCCTGCCAATAAGAGATCTCCAAAGTGTCCTATCCACAAAAGCTCTGCTCAGCTCTTGTAAACAAGCTTCTGGTTTCCTTTGGGAGCCAGTCCATCTCATATTTAGTCATTCTGTTTTCCTGCTGCCTTCAACATTTCCCAGGACTATTGCCTTTTTGAGACAACCTTGCCTTCTCATGAGCTTGCCCAAAGTATGACAGCCTTAGTTTTATCATTTTTGCTTTTGGAGGTAATTTAGGCTTGATTAGATCTAGGACCAACTTCTTCCTCTTTCTGAAAGTCCAGGGTATCCACATAGCTCTCCTCCAGTATCATAAAATTAATCTTTTTTCCCTATCACTTTCTATTACTGTCTAGATTTCATACCCATATATGGTGATTTTGTGGATGATCTTTGTCTTGGTATATACGTACATTACCAATGATGGATACAGTATTAAATATTTTACAGTACTCTGTTTCCCGGAAAATAAGACCTATCCTGAAAATAAGCCCTGGTATGATTTTTCAGGGTGCTCATAATATAAGCCCTACTCCAAAAATAAGCCCCGATTAAGTGAAACCTCGCCCTTCACTATTGTGCAGCAAACAGAAGAAGATGACATGACTGTATTTGAATAAATGTAGATTGTAATACATGAAAAAAAAATAGAACATCCCCTGAAAATAAGCTCTAATGCATTTTTGAGCAAAAATTGATATAAGACCCTGTCTTATTTTCGGGGGGAAACGGTATTATATATATATATAAATTCAGGCTAGTGATAGATTTAGGGGTAAAATAGGGAGGTTTTTATTCTAAATAGCTTATAGATTGCAAAGGAATTTACTTCTGAAGTTTTTTCCTATTATTTTCATGCCCTTTCATCTTACAGTTCCTTGGTTTTAATAAAAAATTGCAGAAGATTGTAATCTCATGCTTGTACTACATACATATTAAACAATGTTAATGTTAACTTTTATATGCACATAGTAAATATAAACAATCCACAACAGGAAAAGGGTTGGCAGCATAATATCCCATCACTGAATATTAAAATTGAAATATATTCTGTGTTATTAGTAATGGATGATTATACTGTTGGTATATAGAAGTGGTCATCAGGCAGGTATCTGTATATTTTCATTTTTCAGATAACCTGCTAATTTAGTCAGTGGATGTAAAATATTTTAATATTTAGCATTTTATTATTTAAATAATACTGACAGAATATATTTTGTGACTTCTGGCATGCAGCCAAATCTACATGAATTGTATACTTAAGGACTTTCAGAGTGATTTCCTATGCTTATATTATGTTAATGTTTTATCTTCTAACCTCCTGTGGCTTACATTGCCAAGTTTCATTTTAATTTATGGTGTATAATCAGTTGTCTGTTTTTAAATGTCTACTTCCAAGTGTCATTACAAAATCTTTCTAAGAGCAATGAATAATTCTAAGAAATTTAGAGTGAAGGAAAATGATGACTTAATTCTACTATGGCTAGCTGTCACTTCTTATATACTGTATACGCTTGCAAGGAGGAACATTTGTCAGGTAAGTATTCATCAGGAGATGAGACATTTGGTAGTGGAAGAATTACACATTCTTATATTTGACCGGTGCAATACTTTGAAAGAGAGAAAACACAATCTGTATTATATGGAAATATGGAATAGATTTCAGTTAATTGACAAGTGTGTATGTATGTTATCAATGTTATCATAACCCTTGAGTCTATTGTGTGATACCATTAAATAGTTTCTACTAGGACAATTTTGTTACAGTACACTTTTTAAAATTTTCTCTGTATTTTCTCCCATGCTCCCATGCCGCTCAATTAGCAGGATAATATGTATTATAATATATCATTTTTCCATAATGTTCACAAATGTTTTACCATTTTCCCCCAGACAAAAATAAAATAGAACCTCAGAGAGGAGATTTGTACATGCAATGCATAAAGTCACCCAGGAATATTAGTATCATTAAAGTATCCCTTATGAATCTTTCAATGATGAATTCAAATTTACTGGCTGAAGTCCTTTTGATGCGACTACACCTGGAGGAACATGGTGAAGTCACTGGTGAGGGAACTTTTTGCTAATGAAAGACTTCCTTCTTCTGTCTCATGGCTTCTATATAATAAAATGGATTATACATAGGTTGTACAACCTGAGAAAGAAAAGAGAGAAGTGTTTAGTGACTGAAAATCCCCCCTTGCTGGTGACATCATCACTCTTCCTTCTTAGGCATCCTTCAGTCTTGAGAGACTATGGTAACGTGCTCTGTATCGAGGACTTGGAACAGCATCTAGTGTGGCTGAAAAGGCCAATTCGAGAGTGACAATCCCTTCCACATTGAAGACAAATACAATCTGTCCCCTGTCCAGCTCCCTGATTTTGCTGCTTCTGAGACTGCCTCTTTGCCTCGGCCTACTGGATAAGGGTCTCTTCAAATTGGGAGAGGCCGTGATGGAACGCCTGCCTCCAGGCTGAATGGTCAGATGTCAAGGTTTCCCATCTGTTGAGGTCTATTCCTAAGGCCTTCAGA